CCAGTTGTCATGCTGTACAGGAATCTGGGAATACAAACAGTGGTGAATGAGACTTCCAGGAAAGAGAAATTTCGGAGGAAAAAATACATGGGAGTTTTAAGATGAGAATCCAAAAGTGTGAGTGTGATAATGGTGAGGTTCCCAGCCACACTCAACATGTAAGTGAGAAACAAAAATATGAAAATTAGAACTTGTAGTTTTGGATCATCTGTCAATCCCAGCAGGATGAATGTTGTTATTGCTGTATGATTTCTCATCCCTGCCTTGTGCCAAGTCACAAGTGAGTGGACCTGAAGAGAGGTGTCAAAAGAAGCCAGCATTGGAGCCTGACTGGAGACATCCCAGCCAGACAGCTCAGTGCACTTAATATTTCTTTACCTGATAATCAATTACCGTATTGAACACACCCATACCATTGACATCTTACAAGAAAGTTTCTACAGAAAATTTTGAATATAGATCTTATGCTTGTAATTCTCTGATGAGAAACCATATTAGTAAAAATGTCAAATAAAAGCCAAATAAAACATAAATCATATGTGCAGAATTCAGGTTATTAACCATATTGCCTGGAGGTGACACTCTATGTGTTGTTATTCTGGAAGAACTATGAAAATTTTGGACTTCTCTTCTCCCATCTGCATCTTTCTGTATCTCTTCTTGCCATACTGTAATGTTCTATTTTGGAAATCAAAGGGGATATATTAATTAGGATTTTATGTTGATCATTTAATGTTGTTGCAATGAAATTTAAGAGCAGCACATTCATCTTAGTGTTAATTTTTTCTCTGTGCTTAAATTATCTCTAAAAAGGGTGATTAGTTAGATCACAAAGGTACACCTTAAAATTTTTGTTCTTATATTTTTTGAATGAAAATATTTCGTTTTATGAGTTCATTTTCCGATACACAGTATTAGTGAAACATTGTATTGGGGTTCATTTTAATATAATTATACAAGCATGGAATGTAATTTGCTCTGATTCAGTCTTACTAATTCCCATTTCTCTTCTTCTATTCTTTTGATCTTTCTTCTATTTATTTATAATTTTTATATTTATGCCTTTTGGATATATATGAAAATGAGATTGGTTTGGGCATATTCATAGATGTACATAGGAAAGTGTGTACATTCATTCTACCTTTCTTCCCTTTTCCCCTCCCTTTTCCTTGATCCCTTTACTTTACTCCTTTGTTCTCTCTTTTATAGTAAAAAGAATTTCTAGCCAGTTTGAGACTCTTGGGCATTGTGTTTCCTGAACCTTTGAAGTGGTATAAAGAACCATTTTCTGGAACCTGAGCATGAACCTGACTGAGTCCTGCTGTGGTGTTGGTCAAGGACAGAGCCCAGGAGGAGAGATCTGTGGTGTTGCTTTCTTTGCAGCCTGGTCCACCCAGTCTTCTTAGTGCCACTCAGTCACCTGAGTCTGTCTCTGACCTCTTTTTTCAATGATTCCTGCTGTTTCTGTCCAATCATTCTCCCTGCTAATTTACCAACTGTCTTCCTAATCTTGTTTATGTTCTCTGGGTTTTTGGTAATGTAACTAGCTCAGACAACATCTAGGAACAGATGGACTCTAACAAACTCATCTTTGTAAACAAATAATAAAGTACCCTACCTTTCTCAATGGCCTTTATCTCTGTCCATTTCAGTACTTCCCAGAAGTTTCAAGCCTCCCTGTATTCAAACTGATATATTTTGAAGAACCACGTTAGATATGGGCTCAGGGAATTCTGCTTCACTTTGTATCTAAACTTAACCCTCCTTGCAGTTCCATATTTTAAGGAGCTGTTTTCAAATATGCAACTTGTGAAAGAAAATCCTATAAACTCATTACCAGCCGTGTATACATATTATAACTTAAAAATTATATAATTTTATAAAATAAAACATTATAAAATATGTCTTAGGAAGGGGATTGTTGAATGTTCAATTTTAGATATAGCTCACAGTTTATTAAAAAAATCCTACAAATTTTTGTATAAAAGAGGAAGAAACTTAGTTTTTAATTGTTTAGATAACTGCCCCACTTGCACCCAGTATTTGTGGTCCATTTGAGAATCAAAGACAAAGTTCTTTTCTCTTATTTATTACTGTCCAAGAAAACAATCAATATTTGTTCATGCAAATAAACATTGAATAGTTACTTATTATGTATAGAGCGTTATGTCAGATACTCATCTATAGGTTTACCTATGAAAAAGTTGCTCCCTAAAGAAGATTTSAGGTCACTAGTAGGAGATACTATTTTGTATTAACACATTTTCATTGACATGGTAACACAAGATAACAGCAGAAATGTAATTTTAGATTCGAAACAGTATCTATTTCATGCTTCTTCCTTGACAATTATTCTTAGTTATACTAGTATCTATTCATATTTTCCTATATCAATTCAGATCAAACAGGTTCTGTACAAAATTTGGCAGTCCAAGGTGTCACCAAAAGTAAGACACATGGCTCAGCGTACACAGATATGATTTTAGAACAAGGAAAACTGCATGGGAGAAATAATTCACCTGAGAGTTGGTTTTGTACATCAGGGAACCTGGCAAATACAAGGTGATAGACCAGGTTTATTTGTTCACACTGAATTACCCCTGTTCCCCTCCCTGTTCTCTTTCATGTATTTTAGTCACTTGGTGATTTGGTTTTTATTTTTTTTTCATGAACTGTCCAGTGCATTTTAAAATATATTGCAGATACTTGTATATTATGTTTGAAACAAACCACATTTAGTTTTCATTTGGGACCAAGACTTCTCATAGATTGGAGAGTTTAGGTTCAAGAAGAGTTTGAATTCTGCATCTGCCAAATCCATGGTAAAAGGACTTAAATACCTGAGATAAAAAGGGGATGTTTCTTCTAAGATCATATCTAGTATGGATATTATTTGATATCTATGACACTAGTAGATATTACTGAGTAGAGGTGTCTTTTCCTTAGTATTCTGTTTCTAGAGAGTTAAAACAGTCTCCTCAACTGATACTCATGGCCAGGAAAAGGAGAAACTAGCTATCAAAAGAAAATTCTATTTTTTTCAGAATAACACGTTAATAGAATTAATTGTCAACCCCCTTTAATGAAGTGAATTTAATTTTAAAACTGATTGTTCACCCTCTGCCTGATTTATAGAATATGGAAAATATGTCACAAAAATTATATACTACTTATATACTTAACTTTTTGGACCCGTCTTCATTAGAGGGCTTTGAGAAAACAACAGTGTAGGAGCATTAGCTGTTGAGGAGCTTTGTGTGTATCCTGTGCCCACTCATTTTCACCTATCACAGTCCCCACCCTCAGCCTCCACAGGAGGACATGTATGGGTGGACACACACATGCACACACACACTCACACTCAGGCAGGTGTGGCAATTGACAGTTCACATCTAGATTTTCATTACTCCTGCTATATGAAACCAGTCTCTATCTTCTCTTTAATTTACACCTCTAAAATGGCATCTTATACTGATTACCCATTGATTCTGTTTGTTCAAGGAAAAAATTAGTGGTATAGAGCAAAAAAGAAAATTCTAGTCTATTAGAGAGCTCATGTGGTCTAAGCCAGGGAGGCAGGCTTCCCTGAAATTTCTGTTATAGCAGCCTTTGCTTTATATTGCTACCACTTTACAGGGAACAACAGAACAAACAACTCAGTCCTTGGTGACTCAGTTTGAGAAGTTATTCACAAATTGGTGGCAATCTAATCAACAGTGTAAAAATTTATGTAGCAATAGGGACAGTGTCCTCAGAGACCTGGAGAGTTTAATATGTTTGAATTCAGTTTTGATTACTTTGTTGTATCTCTGTATTTCCCCAGGATTAGTTCCTGCCTGCTACTTCATATGTATTATATGTTATGTATTTGTGACCTAAGTCTCGTGTAAAATAAAAATACTATACTTAAAGAAAATTTAATAAGTCCTGTTTTTCAGGTAAAAAAACTGATGATCAGAGGACTGCGAGTCAGTGTACTTCCAGGGGTGGTGCAGGTTTTGAACAGAAGTTTATCTTACACTCCAATATCTGCTTCTGTGGAACACAACATGAGCTCCTTCCCCCAATGATTAGGAGGCTCACTGGCATTTCAGATGTTATTTTTCTCCTAGTCTGCCTGGCCCACATTGTCAATCCCCCTTCCTACTTGTATCTTTTCCGATAAGCGGTGGA